TGAAGGACAAGTTACAACACCTAGGGCTGTACAGAGTGCGGTTTAGACCGTACCAAACCGCAAACCAAACCACTATTATTTTGCGGTTTGGTGCTGTTTAATTTGTGGTTTGAAAATTGCGGTGCGGTTTTTAAATGACCAAACCACGGTTTGCGGTTTGGTGCGGTTTTCAAAATTATTGAAACCAAACCACACCGGAAACCGCACTTTAATGCGGTTTGCAATTTTTATACTATATTTTCATTGAAATTATACAAAAGAACTAAAGCATATGAGCTAATATTTGACTAATAGTTAATTAAAGGTTAATAAAAAGAGTTTAATATTTGAATTATAAACTAATAATTATAAAATAAAATAAAGTTTTTGTTTTAAAAAGAATACGGTTAAACCGCAAACCGCACCGCACCAAACCGCATTTTGCGGTTTGGTGCGGCATTTTGAAAAAATTACAAACCGCACTTTTGTGATTCAAACGGCATCACGATCACCCCTAACAACACTGCCACATTACTACTGGTGCTTCCTGCCAAATGCGTGGTCTAGCGAGGGTAACTATTATTCACTCTATACTAGAGTGTGAGGCAGCCAAAGCAATATGGAGTTGCAGTGATCAGCGCTAATTCCTTGAGGGGACTTCGTTAGACACTTTTGCAGCTTTGTAGGAATGGTTAAATAGGAAGTATAATGCTGGTATTGTTTGCTCTATGTTAACTCTATTGTGGGCCTCATGACGATGTCGAAACATGCTCATTTTTGGGGATGATAAACCTGATTTTGTGATGTTGGCAGCTAGTTTCAATCGATTGGTGCAAGACTATAATTCCTATGTTGTGAAGGTGTTCTAACTTGCTGTTGCTGCTACTACGAGTTCTGTGTTGAGCTCTAATTAGTGGCAGTGTTCGTCTATGGGTTGCTTCAAGATCAATGTTGATGCCCACATTCCTAAGGTTGGCTTGGCGGGGTTAGGTGTAGTATGCAAGGATGCAAATGGCACTATAATATGGGCTGCTGCGAAGAGAGTTGACACGTCTTCCCCTATATGTGTATAGGAGAGGGTGTCAGATATGGAATGCAATTGGCAAGGAGGCTTGGGTATGTCAATATTTGGGTGGAGTTGGATGCTATAAACGTGGTCAATGCAGTGACGAGAGGCTAGAGGTTTCTCTCCAATTAATCTTCTCCATTTTTGATGATATTGTTAAAGATAGAGTTTCCTTTGATTTTTGTACTTTTTCACATGTTAAAAGAAATTGTATCACCGTACCTCATCTAGCGGCTGGATGGAAATAGGTGAAAATGTGGAACTCGTACGATTTTCTCCATTCCCTCAAAGTATTACTACTTTGGCGGAGTTGGACATTATTTAAATAAAATGCTCTATCTTTGTCTTTCAAAAAAAAAATTTCACTTCTATTTTTTTCTTAAACATACATACTATACATATATCCCGTGCATGAGCACGGATACACTTTAGTGAACAATAAAAAGAAAGAAATGGATGACAAAAATAAAAAGGCTAAAGAAACACTTCAGTTAAATCAAAAGGGTATTTTCCAAAAAAAAAGGACAGAATTAGAGCATGTGACATGTTAATTTTCCTGTCATCAAATACTAAAGTGTACCCGTGCTAATGTACGGGATATATTATTCGCGAAAGAAAAGCTATCTAGAGCCCTATAGAATGAAGAAAGGCCTACCTGACCTCAGAGAGAATAGAATGAGTAGCCAACATGATTTAAAGAGAAAGGTTGGTAGTTATTAGTCCCTTGAAATAATTTTTTTTTTAAAAAAAGAAAAATAGTGGAATATGTAGTTATTATTGATTTTTTTAAAAAAAAATTTAGAATTTGTGTATCTATAGTACTCCGTAATATATAAAGAGAAAGTGCATTTTGAGTGATAAATTTCACTATCCAAAAATTGCTCTTCTAAATTTACAAAATTACCTCTCCTATTCCCAATTAAAAATCAAAACTTCAATTTTTTTTAATAAAAAATTGCTCTATCATTGGTTAAAAAAAAAGAAAAAAGAAAAGAAAAAAAAAAACTGGTATATTCCACGTTAAACAAAAAAAATGCTCTATTCATTTCCAAAAAAAAAAAAATGCTATATATTTTTATACTGTACACGCGTAATGCGTGTCTCTTAGCTTGTTGGAGTAGAGTGGTGAGAAATTGGAAAAAAAAAACCAATTTAAATTATACTTCGTACAAGTGTAATACTAGTAAACTACTCGTAGTAGTCCGTACTTCCTCCGTTTTTTAATAGTTGCAACACATCCTTTTTCACGTTATTTAAAAAATGTGGGTTCACATGTTAAAATACACTTTAAAAAGGGTTGAGTGGCTGTTAGAAGTGTAATTTAGTGGGTCATGTCACTCATGTGCTTTAAAATAAAACTTTTGCCCAAAATAACTTTCCATTTATAGTGTGTTGCAAGTATTGTGACAATTTTATTTTAGGAAAGTGTTGCAAATATTAAAAAACGGAATAAGTATACATTACTCCCTCCGTTTTTTAAATACTTGCTTCATTTCCTTATTTGAAAAGTATTTATAATATTAATGGAAAAATTGATTCTAATAATCCCACCTTTGGTTGGTTCGCTGATAATAATCCCACCTATTGATTATTAATTAATAATCCCACCTTTGGGGGTCATATTCTTCTAATGGTCCCTAACCTGTTGCCTGTTGGTAATCGGTTAGATAGGTTAACATGACACATGTCCTTTTGTGATTCGTCCAAATATATAATTTTTATTTATAAAAAAAATTAAATTTTAAAACTTAATTCCCCTTTCCTTTCTTTCCCATGTATTATCCTCCATTAATCCCGGTGAAACCTTAAAAAAAAAAACCCAAACTGGCAAACTCAGCCACCTCCTCCACTAAAATCGGGCACCTACGCGTAAAACCCGACCCACGAACCCCCCCCCCCCCCTCATTGACCCACCCACAAAAGCCCCACCAACGTTAACGTCCGACCACCCCCACCCACGTAAACGACCGACCACCTCCACCCACAAACCAACCTCCCCTACCTACGAAAAACATTACCTAAGATCGACCAGCTACCCACGAAAGACGAAACTCCTACCCAAGATCGACCAGCCACCCAGCCCACAAAACCCTCACCCCCCCCCCCCCCCCCCCGAAATCCCTTCCCCCGCAAAATTGACTTTACTACTTGACACCTGACGACCGACGCCTACTAGGCTACAAGTAATGAATTTCCTTGAGAAATAAGTACACTGCTACCATTCTTGTAGGAAGAGAGAGAAATTAATCTGGGATGGGAAAGGGAGGGGAGGAGAGAGAATTGGGGCTAATTGACTATGGAGATGAGGGAGAATAGAGAGGAAAAAAAAATACCTATTCTTCAAGTTAAAGGTCACTAAGGACCATTAAAAGAAGATAACCCCTAAAGGTGGGATTATTAGATAATATTTCAATTTCTCTGTTTTCTTTTAGATGCAACACACACTTTTTCACGGTATTTAAGAAATGTGGGGTTCACATGATATAATACACTTTAAAATGGGATGAGTGGTTGTTAGGAGTGTAATTTAGTGGGTCATGTGCTTTAAATAAGGGAAATAATATAGTTTTTCCCTAAATTTACTTTCCTTTTATAGTGTATTGCAAGTATTGTGACATTTTCATTTTGAGAAGTGTTGCAAGTAAAAGAAAACAGAGGAAGTAATTATTAGGTGGAATTATTATTTGTAAACCGGTTAAAGGTGGGATTATTAGAATTAATTTTTCCATAATTAATTCATTTCTCTCAACTAGTGGACCCAACATAGATCATACTCCCTCCGTTTTTTTTATTTGCATCACTTTCCTTTTAAGGGTGTTTTTTTTACTTGTATCACTTCTATATAGAGTAACTTTATACTATATTTTATTATTTCTCTCTCTTACTTTAAACGCCCCTCAAATTAATTTATCATTTTTTTCTCTCATGGTCCCCACTACTCTCTTACATAATTTCAGTTTCATGATCCCCACATTACTTTTACCATAATAAATTATTCATCCACTCATATTATGAATTCATTCTCCTAAAACTCCGTGTATTTGCAAGTGATGCAAATAAAAAAAAACGGAGGGAGTAATGTAATAATTTCATATTCTCTCCACTACTTTTGCTTTTTACAATTTTTTATTTATCTACCAACTTCATTACCTCTATATTTTATTACTCCCTTCGTCCCTAAATTACATTCTTGTTTGGAAATTTACACGGGAATTAAGGAGGAAAGAATAAGACAAATAACAATAATTAGATAATGCAATGGGAAGTAAAAAACATTAAATAATGTATTTGAGTAAAACAAAGATAGATTAGTGATTACTCATGATATGTCATCAATTCTTTGCAAAAAAAAAAGGATCAATCACATGCTCCTAATTGAAATTTTTTAACCAATCATATTCATTGTAATTTGGCACAAGGATTCTGAAAAATTAATGGCTGAAACAATACATTAGCCAACCAAACATTAAAAGTGGAATGTATTAAACATTAAAAGTGGAATGTAAATACATTAATTATACATTAAAAGTACAACTGAAAAAGAGAGTATATTTGAGATATTTAGAAAAAAAAAATACTAAAATTAGAAAGTTGGAATACCCAAAATAAAAGGAAGGAATGTAATTTAAGGACGAAGGGAGTACTTTTTTTCCAATTTTTCCTAAAACTCCGTGTATTGAAAAATGAAGCAAGTATTAAAAACCGAGGGAGTAGCATAGATAGATTAGTACGGAGTACTCCGCAATGAAAGACCAGCGCTAACACGAAAAATTTGAAAGTAAAACTTCAATCCAACACACAAAACATCATCTTTTCCCAACCATCGATTAAAACCAATCAACGGTCACATTCTCACTACACCAACACACACGGATCCCCATTTTCATCCGTCCGATTAAAACTCAAATCAACCCCACAAATAAACTCCCCCCCATTTTCCTCCCTCCCTATAAAAACCCCACCACATTCCCTCATTTAACCACTATCAATTCCCACCATTTTCTCTGTCCTCTCAAACCCTCAATCTTCATCTTCAACCTTCTCAAACTTCAACAATGTCGGGCCGAGGAAAGGGAGGCAAAGGGTTAGGAAAGGGCGGTGCAAAGCGTCACAGAAAGGTGCTTCGCGACAACATTCAGGGTATCACAAAGCCTGCCATTCGTCGATTGGCTCGAAGAGGTGGTGTGAAGCGTATTAGTGGTCTTATTTATGAGGAAACTCGTGGTGTTCTTAAGATCTTTCTAGAGAATGTGATTCGTGATGCTGTTACTTACACTGAGCATGCCAGGAGGAAGACTGTTACTGCTATGGATGTTGTTTATGCTCTTAAGAGGCAGGGTCGTACTCTCTACGGTTTCGGCGGTTAGGGTTAGGGTTTATGTTTTAGTTTGATTGATAAGAGTATTGAATGTTTATGTAAATTTCTGATGTTGTGTTTTCATTTTGATGGAGAAATGAATGAAATAGTGATTTCCTCTGAATTTGAAATTGAGTTTTGCAATGTTTATGTTTTTGTTTTGTGTATCTTTGCTATAATTTGGAAATATTTAGTTCTGGTTACTTGTTGATTATATACTGCTAAAATTGGCTAAAGGGGTTACTGATTAATCTGATTATGCTTTTCAAATCTATAATTTGCAATGTTGATTCAAGAGATTAATGAATATACTAAGGTTGAAGTTTTTTGTAATCAAGTTAACTAGATATACTCAATTTGGTTCTCCATTGGTACATTTAATTGCGATTGTGGGATATATTGGTTTATTTGGCTATTGCTGTTTTTGACGTTTCTGCGTTGTACTATTTGGATACTGTGATAGAATTTGAATTGAATTTTTTTTGTTGTTACTTCGACCATGATTGCAAGCATTGTTGGCTAAGATCCAAAATAACCCATGTCTCCATGACTCGAAGTTCTGATGATAATTTTGTTGAGGATGAAATGATGTCTTCCTCATACTTGAGGAAGGTTTATTTTGGGCCTATTTTGAGTACTTGCTTGCATTGGTTCAATTAAGATTCTGTGGGAGGGAGATGATAGCCCAAGTGAGAAAGGTTATCCTGTCAAATTTTGATGATGTATAGTGCTTCAACTGCTACTGATGCATGGTACAGGAAAGCCCCTTCTGCTTACAAATTTGGAGAGAAATAGTCACATCTGCAGAAGCTAAAATGTTTTTTAGCAGCCATGTCAATCTGTGTTGTGGTTTTTGTTATTATGGTGCTCGTTGAAAGGCGAAAAGGGCCTCTGGTTCAGACCAAAATCATGTATGTAAAGGCTTTTCCATATGAGGGAATGCAAATAGTTGCTGGGTTGGTCTGAGAGTGGTTATTAGAAAGAAAAGTTGCTGTGGGTACAGCATGTGTGCATCTTAAGCGAGCAGGAGCCACAAAACTCTTTGCTATGCTGGCATTGATGCATCCATTTTCTTTGTAACTTGGTTGCAATTCACAGCTATATTGGTTTACTTGATGCTATGATGGAGTTTCAGGGTATTGTGAGTTTGGTAGATTGGTAGCTATCTTTCCTGGATTGCCGACTTATTTGGCTATGTAATCCTTAAAATTTTGAACTCCATATATCCTTGCAATGTTGACGAGTGATTCACATTACTAGTGTAGTAGTGGGTGCTGCCTCAGGCCCTCAGCTGTGCAATTCTGATACTTGGAAAGGAAATCTTGTTTTTGTTTATTGAAAGTACATGGTCACTATAATGGTCACTATAAATGGTCATTCTTTATACTTGCAAGCTTTGTGTTTGGTCTTCTTTTCTTGCCATAAATCGAGGCTTGAGTGGAGTATTGTGGAATAGCATAAAGCTGCTCAAATGCTTGATTATAGCAGCCTCGTAATCTTTTTGGTATGCTACTATGCTCTCAATCTTTGTTACAAAACATCAGACAGGCGGACAAAGAGCTATGGTTTTGTACCTGTGTTTTTGATTATGCTGCTCAATCCTTTTTTACGTTACATTTTGTTCGGATATAGAGCAATGGTTTTATACCCTATTCTGCATTCTTGATGGCTACTATGAGGAAAGGCAGCAGCAGCGGAATCTGAAGACCAGTAGCATCAGCAGTGCCTGCAGCCCAGGGTCCGAAGCAACGGTTACTTGCATCCCAATTGAAATTGGTAGTTATTGCATACATGTTCGTGCAACTGACTAACTGAGGTTCTCACCATCTTTTACTACTGAGTCCTAGGTTGAGTCCAATTAAAAAAATTCCGAAACCATTTCAATATGTATGGTGTTTTTTTTCATTTTTTGTGCTTCTACACTGACCCTACATGGAATAAACCTCTGGTGCGTTTTCAAACCACTCCAATAAGCTTGTGACCCTGTCGTTCAAATAGGGGAGGGGGGTTCAAGTGTAAAAACTTGAAACAGAAGACATCATTCAATTATTTTTGTGCTTCTACACTAATCATTCAATGTTGAACTCTCGTACCCTACTAAGAGATTGGAATGAGAAGTCCAAGCTTAAGGGTTACGTAGCTTATAATGAGATAATAAGACGGAAGCACTAAAACGCTGTATATAAGGAACTAAAGAAGATAGTCTAAGTTATTAATGTACAGAGTATACTGCTAAATATACTCATCCATATCAGTAGAGTGAATAAGTGCTTTGTAACTGCTAAAAATCTTTGCATTTCTTTGGACAATAGATTTACAAACAAATTGTACAAAAACCGTGCTGTATATGTTGTCATTATAACCTTTTTAATAGCTATCTGCAATACCTCATTAACACTTTAAAGCATGCTATATATATATATGCCTATTGCACTACTCTGAACCAAACCGTGTTAGCAAAACTGATGTTGAAGAACATATGCTCTACACATTTATCCGTGGCGTGTTAGAAGACAAGCAACATCTAGCATCACACTTGATCCCCGACCTCATTTCCTCAGGCTATTTTCGGTAGTAATTTGTTCAAAATACACATGTAAATAATGCAACTCCTAGGGATTATTACATCATTACAGATTACTCTTCTCCATCCCACTTTCTCATAATCACCTTTAATGTATTGAGAAAATCCCTTTACTTAGGATTTCATCCCGATTTGTACTCTGAACTAGCATGTCTTTAGTTCCCTAAACTTTCTTCACCATCCTTGATGCTTGATTAGGAAAAAGGAACAGTTTAGGCGTAGCTTCTATTCACATAGTTATTGTGAAACCTTTTGACCGGCAATTTTTATTTCTTAATTGCGAGATAAAGCCTGTAAAAGCTTAACCAAGCAATTACATTCCAAGCATGAATATCTTTTAACATTCCAACCACCTGCTACTCTAGGTTTACAGGAAGAAAACCAAGCAACAAGGATTTTTCGTCGAAGATGCAGTATATCCATTCTGCAAATATATCTTGCAAACTCTTTCTATCTACATAGTATGTATAACCTTCTTAGGGATAAAGAAAATCTGGCTCCTGTATGTATGCAGGCTGAACAAAGCATTTGTGAGTTTGTGACTGTAGGCACGAAAAATTTATATAAGTGCCACATCGGATATTATATGGGTCAAAAGTCAATTTGTTGACTTAATGGTTTGACTATTTATTTAAAATTAATTATTTTGGGTGAAATAATATAAATTAGCCCATTTTAATTATTTTGATTAAATTGTTCATTTAATAGTAAAAGCCTATTTAAATGGGTTAAGCTACATAAATGAGTCAAGATTACCAAGTCAAAAGCCCAACTTCATTGTACATTAAACCCTAACCCTAGGGTGTCTCACTCTATAAATAGAGACTCTCTAATTCATTTGAAGAGAGAAAAAAACCTAGAGAGAGAAAAACAGAGAGAGGAAACCTGAGAAAACAGAGAGAATCAAAATAAAGAGAAAACCTGTCATAAAATACTCTAAACCTCTCCAGAGAAAACCTCTCCAGAGAAAACCTCTCAAAACCTAGAAGAAGAACAACAAGCATTCGACGTGCCGTTCTACTCTAGAAGATTACTCGTGGAAGAGATCAAGCCTCGACGGCCCTCAACACGAAGGAAAGAAGAACATCAAATCATCAAGAACTCCGGTTAAACCTCTACATCAAATCTTCATTGATCGAGATCAAGCCTCGTCGGCCCTCAATCAACAACCCAAGTCAAAGGTCTACATCAGATATCTTCGATAGAGATCAAGCCTCGTCGGCCCTCAATCAAGAGTCAACTGAGCCCGTGAAACAAGTTAAAGATAAAGTGGAGATCGAATCAGAGGAGAAAATTAGAGATTGTACCCCAAAATTATCAGATTAATAAAATTAACACTTTGTTGCATTAGTTTTGAATCTATCTTTTACAGATTTAAAATTTGTGTTTACAAATTTGGCACTCTCGGTGGGACAATTTCTACCTCTCATCTCTTTCTCCACAAATCAAATGACGAAGCACGTAGAAGAAATGATGACAAAGAGCGATGCACTAGACGATGTCGTTAATGTCATGGCAATTGAAGCAAACACCATCAAGGAGGAGTTAGCAAATATGAAACTACTTCTTGAGAAGCTCATCAAGGACAATGAAGAAAAGGGGGCACAAATTAAACTCCAAAGCGAACAAATTTCTGCGCTCGAAAGAAGACTCGAGAAGCGCCCAATTGAAGAAATTGAAGGTGATAGTAGCGGGTCAGAACTTAGCTCGAAGACGAAGCAAAGTTCAAAAAATGAAAGGCCCCATGGTGATTCATTCAGCTTCCAAGCAATCCATGAGATGATAGCTAATGCTATTAAACAACAGCTCGACAGAGACGTCAACAAAGATAGTCGCTACAGCAAGCCTTGCACAAAGAGAATTGATAAGATAAGAATGCCAAGCGGCTATCAACCTCCGAAATTTCAGCAGTTCGATGGCACAGGCAACCCCAAGCAACATATTGCGCACTTCATAGAGACCTGCAATAATGCTGGGACCTCTGGAGATTTGCTCGTAAAGCAATTTGTTCGCTCTCTCAATACTGTTGCTTTCGATTGGTACACAGATCTACCTCGAAAATCCATCGACAGTTGGGAGCAAATGGAGGAAATGTTCCTCGATCGTTTCTTCAGCACTCGGCGCGTTGTCAGCATGACTGAGTTGACACAAACCAACCAGTTGGAAGATGAACCAGTCGTTGACTACATTAATCGATGGTGAGAATTAAGCCTTCAATGCAAAGATCATTTGTCCGAAACTTCGGCAGTCGAGATGTGCATCCAAGGCATGAATCGGGATCTTGCTTACATTTTGCAAGGCATCAAGCCCAAAACATTCCAAGACTTGGCGACTCGAGCTCATGAGATGGAGTTTACGATAGCCAATCGTGAAGACAGATCTGATTAAATGGTCATCAACATCCAAAGGGGGCAAAGATGAAAAAGCGGTCCTCAAAGCTCCTAAGCAAGAGTCTAAACTGCATAACAAAAAAAAAAACATACACACACACACACACACACACACACACAAATTGAACTACGTCCGGCTTGATCCAAAAAGTAAATTGGAATTACTTATTGGTA